CTTATTCTTAATCGCTATAGAGAAGTTTTGTAATTACTCTTGCTATATTAACTATAAATTTACAGTTCGGTTTTTGCAAAAAAAATAGTACAGGTGATTGTTGGGAAGAGTTTTATATCGCTTTGTTATGTAGTAAACAATTTAAAATAGATAATAATAAAGTTATATATATAACTTGTTATATACTCCTCATATAATTACAAATTATAGAAGATTATCTATATATAACTCTATATATTAAACTAATAAAATTTTTTTAATAATATAAGCTATCTTAAATATAAAAAATAAAAATAAAAAAAGATAATACAAATTTTTTGTTTTATAATATAAAAATAAATATTACAAAAATATAATTATTATTTTCAAATATTCTTATATAAATTTTTATTTAAATATTTTAAATCTTTAAAAATATAAATTATTACTATATTTAAACTATTATGTAAACAAATTTGTTTATATTTCTCTACAATTTAAAAAATAAATATTACAACATATTATAATTAAACAAGTTTAGTAGTTAAAAATTTTATAAAAATTTTATTTATTTATTTATTTATTTTATAAAAGGATTTTGTTTTTTATTTTATTATTATCTTATACTAATCACATATATAAACATGCTAACTAAACTATATATATAAACATGCTAGCTAGACTAGATATAAAAAAGGCTTTATCTTTGTATTATAATAAATTGTACTAAAACTATTATATATCAAATTAATATTAAGAAACAGTATATAAATATATTACTTTTTTAAAAAATTGAATTGTAATAAATAATGTATTCATTAAAATTTTGGTTATTTTAACAAATTACAATTATGTTCTACATAATCAATAATAGGTTTATCACAAAATATACATGTTAGATAAAATAAATTTGCTAACCCTTTTACATACAATGCCAAAATTTAAACTCATTCATTAAAAGCAGGACATAAGTGATTATTCAAAAATCATATACGATTCGAAAAACAAGAAACGTTTGCACAATCAGGAAAATCCTCTTTAAAATAAAACGCTACTATCGATTCTTACATAATTAATTAACAAAAACCAAAAAAGGGTTATCTTAATCTTTGTATTATTGGCGGAAAGTTTTCTCGTTTATACTGAAATTTCTCAAACATCGAATTAAATATCACATAATAAATCATGGCTGTGTGCTTCCGCCACGTACATTTTCAGAGCGCGTACTTCCAGCTTGCGACTGAAAACGGCTAGATTGTGGGTTTGTAGATTGTGAATTAAAACGGCCAGATTGTGGTTGAAAACGACCAGCCCAAATAACTGCAGATTTGGCCTGTCGATACAAATTTGAAACGAAAGGATGAATATTATTATTCGCTGAAGGCAATAGCATCCCATCCAAAAATCGAGCTACATCCGAAAATGCTTGCTGTGTGTATGTATTCATATGATAACGCATGCGAAGGAATATGAAATACACAAATAATGTGAAAAATCTAAGGTGAAAACTGATAAATGAAAATTTAAGTTGTTAAATATGTTGAATATTGAAATAGAAATGTCATGACAAACTCTGAAGATAGTACTTACGTTAAAACATTCCAAATTAGTACATTAGTAATCACAACAACTTCAACGAAACTAACAGTCCTCATTGCCTTATCGTAATTTTTATGAACCCAACTTTGAATGAATCTCGAAGTATTTGCTGCATATTGTTCATAAGGAGAAGCTGATGATGAATGTGAAGAAGAGGGGCCAAAAACTGTCGATGGAAAAAATGTTGGAAGGATATTTGCTCGTAGATATGTAATCAGATGAAACAATGAAAAAGTGGCATAAGGTAAAAGTGTAACTACATAATCAAAAAAATATGAATATATAATTTAAATATTACTGGAATCATTAAGTGCAGTAATAATAACGTTACACCACATATTATATAAGGTCACATGAAACTAAAGGATACATCCACATACCGAATACTGGCGCATTCATAAACCATACACATGCCAGCACAAGATAAAACACATTTTCGTCTCGATTAATCTTTTGAAAGTATTCCCAAGTTGGTGCTGGTGTCTATTATTAATTGAATAATCAAAATGTAGTTAGCTCAATTTCCAAGATCAATGATTTGTTATTATAAAATAAAGAGAAAACACATTGTAAATTGAAATAAATCGAAAAGATGTACAAAAGAAAAAGATCAAAATAATATTTCATAAACTATAACCAACTATCGTTGAAACTCTTACTCCAAAGAACCGAGTTGGCTAATATCGTACGTGTTATGCCATTCGACAGGTCACTAAACAAATCTAGAATAAAATTTGCAAAATAACTTACTCCAAATGATTTATAGATCACGACCCCATAACTCAACATTGCTCCTAAATAGGCCGTGTAATAATAACTTGCTCCGTCAACAGCGCGAAAAGTGATCCAATAATAAGTTTGGATTATAGAACAAAAAAATACGATACAATGACCGCACCACCAAGTGAATTGAGGGTGCTAAGGTAAAAAAAATGTAATTAGTTGTAAAAAGTAAATAACCATGCCTTGTGCAACCACAAATGATAGCATAACCGCTCGCGTAAACGAATGCAACCAAGACTGAACGGTACCTTGACAAGTGTACCAACACGATTTACGAGAGGCTGTGGTGCCATCTTGAATTTATAAAGCGTCTGTCTGTCTCTGCTTTACTTCTCTACTCTCACAGATGTCAATGACGTGAGATTAGCTGATAAAGAAATTTGTTGAAAAAAAACAAACTGGTCAAAAGTGTTTGCGACTTCAGTTAAAGTTTGGGAGTCAAAAAAATAAGATATTTGAATTTGGCTGGAAAACGTCATCGCTAAATCCGCCAATTGATGATTGATTTTTCTCCATCATCCAGCTGTACGACCAATATTATACAGCTTGGTAATACACAACTTTCGGCATGTATGCATTTGACTTTTATTCAATTTAACATTTATTTTAAATTTCAACATTTTCTAATAATCTATTTACTTTAGAGCTTTATTACAGTATTATAAAATTATTTATTAAGACGTAGTGATGCAAACGGCTGGCTTACGGCTAACATTTACCAAGTCTTTGGTTCTAGACAAATTGAGGATTACTATTGGATAATGGACATGTGATATGGATTTGTAAGGTCTACTTTTAGAGCCGATGCTTATCGTTATTAGTAGACCTGTAGCCGAGCCGTTAATCGACTCGGCTTAGCCGTTTGGCTCACTGCTCGGCTCAAGCCGTTTGCATCACTATTAAGATGTTTAGTATTTTACAGATTTAAAGATTCTCTTTTATTAAAAGATTGTTCTTATTCTTCATTAGGTCACCAAACCCTATACATTTTATTTGCATTCTTAATTTGAACTGATGTTTATATATTTTAATACAAAGTTGAATATAATCTGAGCAAACCAATTAATAATCGCATATAAAAAGGGTTTAGAGAATTTCAAAGGTTACTGAGTTTCCTTCTAAGTTAGAAGCATCTTGTTCATCCTTTTGATTTGTACATACCGTATATTACCGAAAATAAGCACCCCTTCGGAGGATTTTTTATAGCCAAATTTCTCGTGATCTAGTAATCGGATCTGCTTAATTTCGGTACCATTCGAATCAAATTATCAAAACGATTCGAATGGTACCGAAATTACGCAGATCCGATTACCAGATCACGAGAAATTTGGCTATAAAAAATCCTCCGAGGGGGTGCTTATTTTCGGTAATATACGGTATTGATTTCCTATAAAATATAAAAACCAATCTCGTAACTTTGGAATATTGACAAAGTAAAATCGATTGGCGTTTGAAAATTCTTCGCTAAAAAAAATAACCTGTAACATCTAAAAAAATGAAACACAATTTTATATATAAAAACATATTAAGCAGTCCATCAATTAACAATTACTTAAAAAATCATCGTTAATTAAAATAATAAGTTATCAGCATATAATTTTGATTTGCATAGTATATCGAACACCCCAATGCCTCATGCCCTAAACTTTAATATTGTCGAGCCTCTTGACAAATTATAAAAATTTATATAATAAAATATATTGGCTGCATAATAATAACTTAAAAATATTACAATAATGCTCTATAGTTATCTGCAAATCTCCATTAAATTCAATATTGTAAATATTTAATTAAATTAATCTAATTACTATTATCTGTTATATAAAATGATCTGTTATTATCTTGACTTACCGTTACAGATTCAAAGAAAAGATATATATATCATCATGGTAACAACATGCTATATACCGGTATAACACATCTATTAGCTATTAAGTTTAATGTTGGCTCAGTTGTTCATGCCATGGAATATACCGGTATATAACACTCAATAATAACAGTGGTATAAACCCTCCATTCCTATTAACAAATCATACCTTATTCGCTTTCTGTTACATTCAATGCACCATGCCTGCTGAGGAGATTTCGATATAAGACACTGTAGAAATTTTTCTAAGCAATCATTTAAAAATACAGACCTTAGTAAGACTTCTTCAACGATATCAGAATCAAAATTCGTTTCACCAATTTCGTCAGTAATCTTAACCAGATTTGCAATTAATTCACCATTTTTATAAACTAATAAAGCTGGCAGGCCAATTGGGTCAAACTCTAGATCATGAGCCAAAATTCGTAAGAATTTTGAATTGACAAATTTCCTAGCTAAATGTGTCAAACAATCATTTAAAAGTCTACATTGAGGAATTGACTTTATTTTCGAGATGGAACTATGTTAATTATATTTATGAATTTTTTTTTTAAAAAAAAAAACGTAAATAAAAAAATAATAATAAATACGTACGTTTTCATATAAATGTATGATTACACAAACGTCTGATGCCTCATCATCTATAGCCTTAACATACTGATTTGAAGATATTTCTCTTAAAGTTCCATATCTTTTTTTATTTATTTTCTGAATTTCATTTTCTTTAATTTCTCTTAACCTTTGTTCTCGGTATTTTTTTAATACCTGTTTTTCTTCATCTGAACTAAGATTTTCCAAATCTTTTAATAAATCATCCTCTTGAATTTTATTTAATTCATCTTCACGATATGTTGTTGTTGTGAAAGCTTTTGAAAGCATACGTTCGTTATATGCGGCTATTGAAACAGACTTTTGCTGTTGTGTATATTGTTTATGATATTCATGATCTGCTAAAACGCCTTTTGGACCCGTTTGCCGACCACCGTGCTGCAACAACGAAATCTGCTAATATAATAAGTAGAATAGTTTTTAAACTTATTACAGAAAAGCAATCAAAGCAATAATATTATTTACTTCTGAAGAATCATCCTCATAAATGTCAGAAGTACGCGGTGACTTTACTGGTTCATCATCGTCCAGAGAAGAATTCAACAAACTTTTAACTAATGGGTCCATTCAATTTGTTTCGCAAAGACCGATATGATGTATGGTGTTCGCAAGCATAGCGATAGTAGAATTCGATGCTTGTATGCTCTCAAATCAGCTAATCACATGAATGAATTTGTCCATCCAATCACATAAAACTTCCAAATTCTTTTCCAAAAGAAATTTACGGTATAAGTATGTCTTATCGTAGCATTGATGTTGATATTATAGACGAAGACCAATTAGTTCAAGAAGAACTGTTTGCTTTCGTTGGCGGTACAGAAATTGACTCAGAAGTAGCCTTAAAAGATGTTCAAGCAAAAGGTGTTGACGTTAGAAACTTCTTGACAAGGTATTGAAATTTTGGGAGGCATGGGTGGTAATGTACTTCGAGGCTTAACAAATATAATAAAATGAACGTTTTAATATATGACAGTTTTTTTTTTCGGTCTGTAGAGGTAATACTTAAAAAGCACTGACAACTGGCATAGAAAATCCGCCGTACGGTTCACATAAGACTGACGCCAAGGTTAGAAATCAGAAAAACAAACGCATTATGCTAAGTCCAACTAATAACTAATACTTTCTGGTAGGAACAAAATACAAAAATTGTTATGGAGGTCCTTAACTCTATTAAAGCAACAGATATTCCCTCACTAGTTAAAAATTTAACATTAGAACAACAAGATGTTTTAATGAAATATATTTATCGTGGAATGGCATCACCAGAATTGTATAATTCTGCCGTACTTTTAAATTGGCACGAAAAGGTAGGTTAGTTTTGAGATTTGAGGGTTGTAGTAATGATTGCTTATGGTATATCGTTTTTTATAGCTCACCGAAGTTGCTGGTGTTGGATGTATTGTACGGGTAGCCACTGATCGAAAAACAGTTTAAACCGAACCTGAATAAATTGAACACTTAATAAACTCTATATAAACTGAACTATAGTAAAATTTTGAACTTTTGAGTCTTCAGTTATGGTTCAGTCCGTCCTGGTTTCCAATAAGACCGGTTCATTAATATTTTTTGGTCCCTAATGATTTAAACTAATAACAATAAGCAATAAAGGCAATTATGTACTCTTTTTTAATTAATTTTAATTAGCTATTTAACTATTTATTAAGACTGGGATCGAATAACTGACTGGTTAAAAAACCAATTCTTATTCGGTCTTTCAGGACTTATCCATCTCTAGTTATCAGATTAACAGTATATTGTGAATTTTAATTAAATAAACGAATATATGCATTCTTTGCAAGATATAGGTATAGATAATGTGCCACTTCACCAGAGACCACGAAAAATATTGATTTATTTAGATGCAAATCGATATTTTTAGGCCAAATCATAGGGAAATCGATATTTTTGCAGTGTAAAAATACCACTACAGGCATAATTAAGATTGTAATTTGGGCCGAGCAACATAAATTTGGCCAACCTGAATTGTCGGCAAGTTTCGGGGTAAAATTGCCACCCAAAAAAGATGTTACCCAGGGTTTTACCACAAAATCCCGAAAGACATATTCCCGAAAGGACCTAATACCGACAAGGTTAGCCGGCATTAGTTATAA